TCTGGTCCATTATTTTCCCCCATTGGCCCTTTGATCACCTATTTCAGGATATAGATCAGTCTTCTCTAGAAACCTGACAGAATGCTTGTGCCCTGTTACATTGTCCCTCCAGCACATCAGTGATTGAAGTCGAAGAGCAGAACCAGTGACCAAGAAGCTTATATCCAGCTATGACTGCAGGTTTTCCTTGTAAATTTGGAAATTTGACTGTAATTTATTTATCTTACAAATGTTTGTCATTTAATGAGGTGTTTTACTACAAAATTAGAAATACGTGTGCATGAAACTCATAGTTACTTGAAGTATACTGACCCATTGGACTGGTAAGTTACATATATAACAAAAAATAACACAAAGTTGATGTTTGCAGCAATGCTGTTACAGTTATAGACATTAGCTTTTCCTTTCTGATGATAATGCTTCTGTGTGTACCCAAAAGAAGCTTTTGCTCCTAACATAAGCAAAAGGACAGGAGAGAAAATGCTCCTTTTATGTTTTTTTCCTGTTGCTTTTTAAACACAAGTTTCCATAATTAGCTGAAATTGTATCAAAATCTTATTCAGATTGCAGGAGACATCTCTACCGAAGTTAATATTTCCCTCAGAGTATAATACCAGAGAGCCTCAGGCAATGCTGTGTAACCCCCTGAAGCTTCTTGTTACCAGGCTGCATATTATGCAGACTTACATTTTCATAGTTCAGTTAACAAGTCAGAGACATTGGTTCTTTGCATCTAGTTTTGCACTCCATTAGAACAGCTTTAAGTGTTTTATTTTAGACTTTAAGCTCTCTGTATGCAATACTATTTGCAAGTATTTGGCCCCTAGGTTTCTCCTTGAATCCATCCTCCACTGCCTCTTTTTGCTCTTGTTCTCAGTGACATTTTCTACACCATAGCTCCCAGCTATCCCTCAACCACAAAGGTAGTTGAAGCAGCTTCCAAAAATACCAGCTCCCAGGAGCAGCCCTTCTGTGCTTAGAGTATAAAACAGGTCTCCACTCTGTGTAATAAATGAATTCATGATTCTCAATTCCCAGCTGACATTAATAGCAGCAAGGAGCAAGAAGCAAGTTAATGTTAATTTCTGCAGGTAATGCATGAAAGCAGATAGGGAAGCTTGAAAGGTCAACATCTGCTGTCATTCAGAAAAGTTACAAGATTTGATTGGCTAGTAAATGTCAACACCATGTTTGAAAATCTACATACTATCCTTTTCAATTTAATCTTAGCTTGCAGCCCAGCTAGAAATCATGCAGCATGTTTCAAAAACCCTTGAGTTAGAAACCGGAGTTGTATGATTGCCTTCCCATGGCAATAAGGAGCTTGCAAATTACAAACTTGTCATTTAATCAGCCTAGTAGGTAGTACAACGCCTGTGACTTTTTATATCAATTTTCAGGGAATGCTGAAGAATCCATAATGATTATATACCATAAAGAACTGCAGTTCCAACTGTTGCCATGGTATTATGCACTCCTCTTTTTTAAAAGCAGTGACTAGAATGTAAAACAGATGATGAATCTAATTGATTTCCCCTGTACCTCACAGAGATGCTTTATTTTTCTCTCTGCTTTTTTCTGTTTTGTCTCACAATAAATCAGATGCAGAACAGCATTGTTTAGTACATTGATGGCATAAATTTAGAGAGTAGATGCACTTTCTAAAGCAGAAATATGATGACCAGCCCTAAGCAAAAGAGAATGAAAATTATATCTTCTTTGTCTAGATGGCAAACAGCAGTTGCTGATGGAAAACATATCCTCAGCTTACGTTTATGCAAAATCTTCTGTAAAACATAAGGCAATATTGAACTAGAGGAAGCTCAAAACAGAGAGGGAAAGAGAGATTAGATTGTATGTGTCCACATATAGATAGCACGGTGACTATGTATAGCCTCAGCAGTAAAATGTGACTACAAGCTCATGGCTCTAAATGCACGTTAAATTAGTGTGCTAGGTGTCATACAGTAGGATACGATGGTTTGTAAAAAGATATGAAAAGTCAAACAAGTTGTTAAGGCTCTTAGAATTCTAGTATTAATACAGATTATTCCCAAAGTTTCCTATCATTTTTAAATAAATGCTTATAGAATGACAACTATTGCAACATTATACAACATCTATTGTGAAAGTAAATCATGAAGACAAAGTGTGAATGAATTACATATACATTTCTGTAGTCACATTCTTGAGCAAAAAACTGAGTCTTCCACACACCCCTGATGCCCCTTTTTAAGTTCATTCTGAGGCAGGATTTTGCCCACCAGTTACAGTTTTTGCATATCTTGTTATCAATATGTCATCGTGCCTGAAGGAATTATTCAACTCCAATGAGATCATTCCTCACAGACAGTGCCCCCTATGGCAATACCAGTAATGTTCTTGAAAAGATTACAAAAGTTATGCTGTAACATGTCACTGACAAGTTGCTTAATAGGCAAATAGAATTTCCCTATGTCTTTTAGACCCATCTATTTATTTTACTTATTCCTTTATTTTGATGGCACTGCATTTCATATGTCCTTAGTGAAAAGCAGCAAAAAGAGTAGGAATGAGGCTTTGGCACAAGCTTCTCTCTTATGCTGCCATTTATTTTGCCTCTCATTGATCTACTATGCATGCCAAGTCAATCACGCATGGTTATTCTAATAGCTACTCTCATCACTTGTCTGCCTTATCTCAACCACAATCACTAAAGCAAAGAACCTTAATCTACCTTTTAAATATAATTAGAGGAGTAATTTGTATACAGATCTGCTCATTATTGATTTTCTTTAAAACTCTCTATGCCCAAAAGTTATGTGCAGTAGAAATGGGGCATCTGCCCATACCTACATTTTGATTGTTAATGATTCTTTTGAACATCTGTTGTACTGCTACTGAACAGTTGTGGTTTCTTTAAGAAGGCATGAGGGACTGGACCTGCACCACCTCAATCTTGACTATTTTGGAGGGCAAAGCACCTCTGGGAGCCATTTATATATATGGTACCATACTGACACAAACTTATGCTCACCTTTGTATCACTTTTTTCCCATTATGTTATTGATGAGTCTGTGCTGTTATTCACTACTGGAACACCAACTGCTTTACCTTTTGTTTCATAGTTTACTAATCAGATGTGCTGAGTATGAAAATGCCACAATTATAAAGCTCCTTAGTCAAAAAGGATGTGTCTTAACAGCAAGTAGGATGAGAATTGCACATCAGAAAATTCATCTGGGCTAGGAGGCGCTGGTAGAAATTTTTATTACAGTAGCAAAAAAAAAAAAAAAGCAACCATATTTATGTTGGAAAGAAAAAAATGGTGACATCATGTATTCACAAGCAAAAGGGTTTGTTGAAATACCAATAAAACAAAAGAGTTTAAACTGAAGTCAATCAGGCCAGCAGCAACTGCATTGTAGAGAGATGAAGTCTGTTACTCCAAATTGTAGTATGCTGAAGCAAAACACTGCAGAATTTCTTTTCTTAATTCTCAAATAAATTCTCTGTAGGATATTTTGAGCAACAGTTAATAGCTCAACTGACTGTGCTTTTTTTTTTTTTTTTTTTTTTGCTGGTTGCACTATGTAAGGAAACAGTGCAACGATTTCTGTAGAAGAATCAGTATGGGCATAGTTGTTGATTTGTAGGATAGATTTCTGTTGGAAGTTCCCCACTAGAGGTTTATTCATGGTGGAGAAAAACCTCTGAAGAAAAAGAGAATTGAAGACAGCTTTGGAATGCAGCTAAACTCCTGGATAACAGATAACTTCCTACCTCCGAGACTGCTTTTCATGTTATAAAAGCATTCTGTTTATTCAATTTAGTAACAATGTTGTTAGAAAAAATCTTACTTTATATGTAATCTACAGTTTCAATTATTGTTAGCCCTGTCCCTATTCGTTGATTGTAACCCTTCTGCTTATTGGCCCCTGAAAGTTAAAAATTATAGCTTTTCCCCTTCTTTCTATATCTTCTCACACATATTTGGATGTGTTTAGCTCAATTTCTCCATTTATAGACATTCCCTTGCATGAAACTCCCTTAATTCCTCCCAAATTCCACACATTCCATGCTCTACCACATAAAAACTAGCTCACCCCTGAAATAAAGGTTCACCCATTTTGTCTTCACTGTGTGTGATTTCTGTGCGAAGTGGACACATAGTCTTAATATCTAGGAGGTGTCACAGCTTTCACCTCTGATAGATTTCTATAGCTAATAATTGGCTGCTAGTTTTCATCACATGTGTGCCACTGAAGCTACTATTGAACATTGGTAAAAACACAGAGAATACAGATGGGGAACAGTAAACCTTGCTGCATGTTATATCTAGCCTAGCCCAGCCCCACTCTGACCTGATAAAACATTTAAATAACCTAACCAACTAGAAACTCACCTATTAAATACAAGTATTTAACAATTAGAAACCTCTATTCTTTTGCTGGAACAGGGGAAGGAAACAGCCTTAGTGGGCTTGATAAATAATGACGGGCAGACATTCATTCTTATCTTTCATAGCCGTTCTTTAACATTAACTCACTCAACACTAAAATCACTTTTTTTTCCACCTGACAGAAATGCCAGGAATCAAGTGAAATGCTTAAGATGACTTAGGGGCTTCCTAAGGAATGTACCCAAAAAGTATAACAAGAAAACTCAGGTTTCAGATCTTTCATTGACAGGGTTCCATGGGGATCAGTTCTCTCTCCTACTTGATATTTCTCTAAAACTTTTAAGAGAACTATCGAGGTAAAATGCTGAAAGACAGAAATGCTGGGAAAATGCAGATAAAATACAACTCCATATATTTTTTGTCGTGTTTGTCTGTATCACTACTATTATATGACTTCATGCTCAAATGAGTTACAGCTGCTTGAAAGACAAAATTGATACAGGTTTAAAAGTTAGTAATAGTGAATTTTCTGACTAATTTATTGCTAGGGGTCATTAAAGAAGATGCATCCCATTCTGATAGAATATTTCTTGACTCAAAATATCTCTTTCTACTTCAGCAGTGTTGTCGGTTCTTATGTGTTTGTCTGACATTCTGCCAGTATGTTTCAGCTATCAGAAAACTACTGCAGTCCATGTTTAACAACAATCTTAGTGACCGAATCATCTTCATTTCCAGAAGAAATTATATGAAATCCTGCCACAATATAGTCGTGTCTTCAAGAGAAAGAAAGAACATAGCAAGAAACTGATTAAATTTGCCAGTATCTTCCCTACAGAATTTTAAATTAGAATCTACCTGAAACACTGTGTATATAAAATTTCTTTCTGTACCTAGTAGTTTTCACCATGTCCATCTGAAACATCAGTATGCCTCAAGCCACTGTATTAATATAAATAACTTATGTTTGTATGGTACCTTTCAGCTGTGAAATCAGAACTGCAGTCTCTGGTGGATGAATGAGTTATGAAACTGCCAGTTTACTGTATATAATTATAAATGAAAGCATGCATTATGTCTCTGTAAAAATAATAAATACATAGAAGATTCTTAATTAATCTTTATGAATCACCATGAATATCACTCATGGTGGGATAAAGGATTTTGAGTTATGGTTTATTTTTTCTATTTCCATAAGGAACTAGTTAATTTCCAGTTTGTTAAGAAAATGATGATCAATATTTTTATTAAAAACTAGACAAAACTACTTTGCAATGTCCTCCATAGATTTATTTATTGTTTAATTTAGTCATAGAAAAGTCTCAACATACAAGGAACTTTTCTGTAGTTTCTTAACTAAATGACAAATATTCTAGTCACTGCCTTTTTCTGCTGCACAAATTGTAATTACAGAAATTGGCATAAATAAATAGTTTCTCTCTGTCCATTTAGTTGCTTAGTAGGTACAATATTAAATTATTTTTTGAATAAAGAAATTGTGTATACATGTTTTAAGTTGAAAGACAAAAGAGAAACCTCACCTCTCTTCTCTACTACTTTGGTGGTTTTTGCCTAATCATTCTCATTATATAGAAGGGGATCTTTTAGCTGTTTTTCCTTTTATAAATCATAAAACCAAGAGAGTATTGCAATTTCAGTGAATCTGACTTTAACTAAAATGGGACCGACATTTAATTTTCGTTGCCTAAGAGAAGATCTGCATAAGGAGGAACAAGAAAATTGCATTTTCAGAGTTCTGTTAGTTTGAATAGATGAAATAGCTATTACAGACAAAATAAGAAAGAAATGGGTTTTTTTACAATGCAAAATTGATTTAACAGTGTCTTTTGCAGAAACAAAACTTGATGCCATTCTTGAAATTAGCTACTGGAACAAAATGATAAACCTGTTTCTAGCTACATGTCATAAAGTAGAACAACATTTGGAGTGATACAAACTGAAGTAAAAAAAATTGGTTTTGTTCATATTTATTAAGTACTCATATGTTCATTGAATAGTTCAGTGATGAACAAAAGAAATAAAAGTTCTTTCTTAAAAATGTACACTTTTGTATGAACAAGATTTCAGCATAATTTTCCCCGATATGGACTGGGGTCTGGTTCAATGGTATTCAGTATCATCTGTGAAGCTACACTGAATTCAGCCCACTGTTGAAAGCTAAATTTAAACAAGCCTCCTGTATCAATCCTGCATTATGAAAAAACTGGGTTACAAGCATTTTAAATGTTAATGTTTATTTAATCAAAGTGTTCAGTTTTTGGCGGGCAAAGATCTACAAAAATTGGAAACACCTTTTATTTTGAGCTTCTTTTTTTCTTAAATACTTAGAACTGCACAAAAAAAGGTGCTGAAAACCTGCTTTACACAAAGAATGTCCTTTATTTGAAATAAAAGAAAAAACAAACAGTAACAGAAAAGTATAAAGGACAAAGTCTTCACCATTAATAAAGTACCACAAAGTCTTACCCATTAATAAAGCACAAAAAATAAAGCACCGATAAATCACTATCAGTGATTATGAGCAATCAAGTCTCTACTAAGCAGCAAACAAGGCAGTGCAATCATCTGCTTGTTACTCTTGACAAGGCAGACTGGTGAAAGATCCTTCACCTCTGTGTAGTCTCTTGCACTGGATTGGGAGAAGGAATACCTATCATCCTTATTTTCCTGTTCTTCTGTTGTCTTCCAACACCAATAAATAGGAGAATTCGTAATGTATTTGTAAGTCAAGGGACAAATGCTGGACACATTACACCTTGCCATGCAAAAGCAGTTCCTTCTTTCCCACTGGATAAGCAAATTCCTTTTTTTTCACTGAGTTTTTCCATGACAATAACGATAAGGAAATTTTATATCTCTGTTCTGTCATGGTCATGTGGCAGACATGTATAGACATCAACACAACAGTTTTACACTTTGTAGAACTGTTTTAAAAGAAAATATGCTAAGAACATTCCGATCTTCTTTAACATAGTTTCCCAAAATAGAAAAATATCTATTTTTTTCTTTTCACCCTAAGAAAATTCTGAAAATAATTATGCCAAGTTTTATATTTGTCTCATATTCTTCTGACTTTTTTCAAGACAACAAGATGGTCTACCTGTAAATATTTGACTAAGTAGAATTTTTAAGAGGTATGTGTTATTGCAGAAGAATCTTTTCAAAACAGAAAAACTTTGTTATTTTTTATAAATAGAATAAAGAATTATAAGGTTTATGTTATATATTTGTAAAGTACTACAGAAAAAAAGAAAATGGATATAAATATGCAAAGACACAAAATATTTCAAGTTATAGAGCCTTTTATATACTTTTGGATCACTGAGCAGAGATCCTTGTTAAAGTATACTCCACTTACCACATTAATAAAATAACTGATCAGATTGGTTGTAAAATGCTTTTCCATTTGATATATTTAGAAAGGATACCTTGACAAAAATTGTGCTGTGTTCTGAAAAGACCTTTGAAAGCCGCATACCAACGGCTAAACTACTGCCTTCAACATATCTTATTTTGTATTTCATGGAAGTGATGGGTATGAATTCCTGCATCTACTAAGTAGCTATAATTTCATCTGATGTAGATGAATACTGACTGTGCTCAGTGTCTTGAAATCAGACTACTTAGTGAGTTATTTATCATTCATTTAAGGAACTCCAAAAACTTTTGAAGCACAACTGTGCAGAATATTTCCTGTTAACAGCAGAGTAAGTACTTTTGAAGACATAATGAATAATAATTATTCTGATAGGCCATCAAGTTTGTGGAAATTCTAGAAAATAGTTTGTGAATACTGCAATAATCCTTCAAGAGTAAGAACTGTCACATATTTAAAACTGTACAGGCAAACTAAAACAAAGAATTTACAAAGGCACCATTTTGCCTAATAATTAAAGCCTATTACATTGATTAAGATTGATATCAACAATATTTTCAGTATTGAGTTTAATCCCAAAAGTTTGGACAAAAAGGTTTGTCATGAAAAAACATGGCAAAATTTGGATGCATAACAAGAGACCAAATTATCTTAGGTAGTAGTACTTCTTCCATTTTCCTAATATCTGAAATGGACAACAGGTCTTCTGTTGTTTAAGAAAATGGACTGGTTAGCTTGTGTGATAAAAATGCTTCCAATACCCATCTTTGTCAATATAACGAAGGAATACCAGCATCTGAAGTAAACTTTCCACCTGACTAAACTGTGATTATTTTAACTGGAAATAATTAAGAAAGGACCAAATTTCTCACTCACTCTGGAATGTATCCCACTGCTTTATATTGGCCTAGAAAACATAGCACAGACTGAATGGAGAAAAATATCCAATAAATAAAAAAAAATTTACTTAGACTTTCAAGACGTCTTTGATAAAATTCTTCACAGGAGATTATCAAGGAAACAGAAGCCACAGAATAAATGATGAAAGTTCTGTTTCATATTAGAAAATGGCTCAGAGATAGGAAAACAAAGAATAGATGTAAATGTTCATTTTCAGCATGGAAGAAGGTTAATGATGAGATGGCCCCGTATTCTTCCTAACAGTGGTGATACTTGATACATTACACATTTATTAATGTCCTGAAGAAAAAGATAAATAGAAGGAGGAACTAATACCTCTTATTGGAAGTTATTTAGGCCAAGAATGAAAAGTCAACTAAGAATTTAATGCATAAACAAAACAGAAAATTAGCTATCATAACAATAAAGGAAATTGTTTAGGCGTAAGAAGTGAATGTTGAATCTGGCCACTTTACATTAATTCATCCATACTTATACCTCCCAAGTCAACAACAATCACTATAAAAAAGAACAGTTTCAATATGGACAATTTATTTAATGTAACTCTTTGGTGTACCTAGGAAAACATAACAAAAAAATCAGAAAGCAAATAACATTTAATTTCATTTTAATTTTAATTTTTTAATGAAGAAAAATAGAGGATTGAAAATCTATTACTGCATTTTTGTAGATTGTTAGTCTGCCATTAGAAAAGTTCTAGACATGGTATAAAAGAACATGAAGTAAGATAAGATATGGGGGAGGATTTAAAGGTTTGAACCATAATTTTGTGATGTAAATGATACAGAAATTATGTCATAAAATTATTGTAAATAATGCAAAAGTTGAGTTACTCATAGTAATTCATATTACTAGGACAAATTTCACCCAACAAAACTAAGAAACAACAAATTTAAAAGTCATACCAAGAAATTAATTGTTTCTTCATACACTATCTAAATTACTGTTATTACATTGCAAGTGCTATCAGGATTAGGCCATAAAAACAACCATAAACTCTTTTAGTTACAACTAGAAATATTTTCACAGAACAGTAAAAAAATCTTTCTAAAAGAGTAATGATACCCATAGAACATGTTGCTGTGGAAGACTGTGGAATCTTCATCATTGGGGGTTAGACAAACATCTGTCAAAAATATCCCACTGTTCTTCTCTGCAGGTGTAAGAAGATTAAATGACATTCTTAGTTTTCTCCAACTTTATCATACCATTACTTTGGTCTGCTTTTCTGGCACCATAAATTAAACAAAACAAGATAATAAAAATCTCTTGGAGCCAGCAACCATAGACTTTTTCAGCCCAGTAGAGTCTAGGTACATAGAGAGCACTCTTAAAATAATCATAGAATATATATTTTTTAAAGCTCAGTGAAAAGGATTAAAGTGGTAAGTGATTAACTGTATTTAACCAGAAAACTTGGGAAACAGAAGTTGTTTCAGGAGAGAAGTCACTTTCATGTATTTACTGATGTAGTATTCAATGAGATGTTTTTCACTATCTCAGCAAGTTTCATATTATACCCATGAAAGAGCCAGAAATTGGTTTTATAAGGAGGAAAACTTCAGTGAAATTCAATGAGAATGTGTTTGGCACAGAGAATGCAGTATATGTAACTGCAATGCAGAGGTTTTTTTATTTTATGTCATTGGACAAAATTTGCCAATTAATACTGAAAAACCTTGAGAAAAACTTTGAACACTCCACAAATATGATCAACAGTGTTCTGTTTTAAACAAATTTCTATCTGAAATTCCACATTTGCTCTTTACAAGTACTCGAGAAAGTACATATTTTAATTAAGGTTAAAACGTTACCATTTTCATCAGTGAACAAACACACTGAAGTAGATATTTTTGGATCTGAAATCTCAAGTAATTTTCAAAAAGCTGCTATGATTCAGCATGAGTTTCTATTTGCATGTTTGCCTTATGGGCTTCTGGGTATTCTTGATATAGATGATTCATAGGTTTTGTTTTCTGGAATGGTTTTTCAGTTACTGAGGAGAGTTCAGTTATTTTGGATACTTATGTCACCTGTGTTAACCCAAAAGATTCAATTGAAGGTGAGTAGTCTGAATAGTTGCATGCCAAAAGGATTTGCTGTAAGTCCAAGACTGGGACATCAAAACAAATCCTGAAATATAAATAATTTTTCCGAATCTTTGTCTTGGTCAGATATGTGAAATTGGGTGTAAATAGCTGAAGAGATTACTGTGAATCAAAATACCTCTTTTAAAAGAACTCAGCTGAAAGAGTATAGAAACTGTTGGAAAAACAGTAAACAAAATAAATTTCTTTTATTATTTTTGAATAGTTCATTACAGAAATATTTGGCTATGAGAAGAATTAAATCTTGCTTGGTTTTAATTTATTTGTTTT